AAAACAAAAATTTTATAAATTGTACCTATAACTCTAAAACTGTAATTTATTTTATATAAAGAAAACGAAAAAAAAAAACAAAACTCACACACTCATAAATCTTTTGATACCACTGATAGATACTATAACTAAAATTAATGAAATGATTTTTAAAAATCCTATCAATTTGTTTTTTAATTTTTTTATTTAAATTTTTTATAATTAAAAAACGGAATACGAATTATCATAAAATAACAAAATATTAAATCCATACATATTTATAACCATATCCTCCATGAAATCATTCAAATAATAATAATAGATCTAATGTAACTCTCTATCTATAATTAAATTCTAAATAAATATTATATTATACATTTAAAAAATAATAATTATATTAATATGATAAACAAAATAATATATATTATAATATTAATGAAAATAATCATTCATATATAAATAAATATAATAAAATAAATATATATAAACAAAATTTACTATATAATAATTATATCATATAATGCAAAAAAAAAAACACAAAATAAAACGTTTATACAATAAAAATCGTTAAATATTATAAAGTGGCGGATTTTTCATTTGGAGAATTATGTGAAAAGGTAAGAATAAAGAATTAAAATTAAATAGACTTTTTTTGTTAAAAAGGAGAACACCTATGGAACGTCTTCTAACTATAGAAATGTGTTCACATATTTTTTTCTTAATAAACAATCTATAGAACTTCATCCAATTTATATTAAATCGAAGTCAATCGGACGATCTTCCTACATTTCAAACAGTATTTGGTCTATTTACGGAGACATCTACCTTAGTAAAATTGAATGTCTGATTTATACCAAAGACATATAATATAATAAGATGGGACATTACATTGTTACTTTTCTTCAATAGATGGCGTTAGTAGTGGAACAATATGTTATGTCACGTTATCGTGACATAGCATTATGTTATATTTTAACAGAGCTGACACTTTTAAGGGTTGTTGTTGATTTTTATCGATTCAATGTGCAAGGAAATGCTCTGGACCAGATACCATACCTTAAAAATTTTTCTGCGTATTTCCGCCATTTTACGGCGATATCGGAATAACATATTTTTCTACAATTTCCAATGCATTTCTGTTATGTCGCCTGCCATCTATTACCTGATATAAAAATTAAATTTATACGTAGTTATATTATGAGTAGGGTGGAGATGGCGATTCTACCTCAAAATGGCATCATATTTCATTTTACAGCATTGCCAACTTTCAGTATTTGTTTAGCGAAGGTACAAACCAAGTTGTGTTGGCAATAACAAGACGTATAATTTTATAAGATGGGACATTTCATTGTTACTTTGATTCAATAGATGGCATTGGTAGTAGAAACATATGTTATGTCACCAGATCGCGACATTACATTAATGGTATATTATAACAGAGCTGACAATTGTATATGATTTTTGCTGATTTTTATCGATTCAATGTACTCGGAAATGCTCTGGAATAGAGTTTTGAGACCATATCTGTTACTCTTGTCCCCGGATTTCCACCATGTCGGAATAACATATTTCGGTAAATTTTCTAATATATTTTAGTCATAACGTCTGCCATCATTTACATGATAGACAAATCAAATGGCCATATGCATTTTGTCCGATCTTTATAGTTGCTTGTCTTTGGTATAATATAATAAGATCCATTACTATAATGGCGTTAGTAGTATGAAAAAAATTATCTTATGTGTCATAGGGGTTTCGCTAAATAGAGAAAAGATTTTTGATTCAATTTCCTGATAGTAAAACTAGACTGTATTATGCATTCTTTCCCATCTATATCGCAATAATATGGTGCTACACTAATCAGACGAAATGTGAAAATTTGTTTACGTTCTGTTTACTCATCGACTTGGTGTCTCTTTAAGTTTTTCACTTTTCCTTTTTTTATTCATTGAAGAGAATTGTACAATTATCTTGTTTCTTGATTTAATTCGATAAGAGATCCCAAAGCGAGAGAGAAGCTGTAATCTATTTAACAACTGTCTATACCTTCACTTCGACATAATTTCTGTGTTGCGTTCAATCATCTTTTGCTCAACGTTTTTAACTCTCATTTCCATTTCATTTATCTGTCTGCTTTTCTCTTTGTCTTTATTTTGGAGTTCAATGACATGAGCAGCAATATTAGTTAATGTTTCATTTATTTTGTATAGATTCTCAGTTACGTTGTTGTTAGAAACAGTAAATGTAGTCATGTTAATGAACATTTGTTGCATTGCTGTTCTTCATTATCATTGCTGTACTCATTATTACGCTTAGTTTGAGACTCGGGGAATGCGTTGTTGTTGTTGGGGATAGTGAGTACAGACTTTTTTGAGGATTACTAAAAGGTCAAAGGACAAAATTAGAAAGATCCGTAGCCTACAGATCACTAGATATACTATTTTATATCTAAAATATGGCCTTCTATGTAGATCTTCTCCTTATTAAAAGCCCATAGTGTATCATATATTTAAAGAAAAAATATTGAATATTTTCAATCTATTGAAGGTCTATATGCAATATATTTGTATTTTTTATATTTATTGAAAACTTACATTATTAAACTTATAATAAATATAGTTAAATTATCAGTAGGGTACAAATGGCGTTTCTTCCTCAACATTCCAAAGCATGATCCGGACCAAGTCGCGTTACCAATAGCGATGAATAACACTGCATTCATAGGTGAAAAGGTGAGTAATGTTACAAAATATAGATGACGCTCTTTTAGGGTTAAGTTCAAATACGAACATAATGTTGCCAATACTAACCACAAATAAAAGTAACAGGAATTGTATGTGTATCATAAAATCATTTTAAAAAAAATTTAAGCTTTTTTTGGAAAAAAAGAAAGACCCGTAGCTTATAGGATACTATAAAATTTTTTATAAAGAAAAATCTAAAGGAATTCCTTTTATATAGATCTTCTTTTAAGCAAAACCCAATAAAGTATCATTTATTTATTCATTCTATATAGATCTTCTCTTAATAAATATACAATATAACGGCATCTATTTACCGCATGCAGCAAGGCATATTCTATCATATTTATTTCTAACGATTCGAAGGTCTGTCAATTATTTGCGTAACAATTTGAGGCATTATATTTACAGAAGTTCGTTTAAGAGGTATTTTAGCTATTTAAAATCCTTCAAAAGTGTGCTAGCTACATGAGGGGAGGTATGTGGCTTGGTTTATGCCTTTGATTAACAAATCCTAAAAAATGGCTACACAGTATAGGATCGCCATATCTACTCTACTATTATCTTTAAAGTCTGTTGATTTACAAAACCCTATTTTTAAACATTCTATCCAATAAACGTTAAGCGACGTGTAGTGAGTGTTATTTCACTACATCCCTCACCTTTTTAAAGTTTCTGTAATATGATATGGCACTTCATTTTGCGATAGAACCGCTATATTCACCCTACACATATCTATAAAAAATATCGATTTACATAGCTCTATTTTGAGGCTTTCTATCTACAGTAGGTCGTTGAAAAGTTATTTTATTTGTAGAAAATCCTTGAAAAGTCTTCCAGCTATAAGAGGGTGTGTAGTTTTTATTACATCGCTCACCTTAACAAATCCCAAAAAATGGCAACACGGAATAGAACCGCAATATCTACTCTACTATTATTTATACTGGCTATTGATTTGCAAAACCCCATTTTTAAGCGTTTTATTCAATTAAAGCCATTCGAAGCTATTTCATCTATAGGAAGTATAAAACTTAATATCAATGAAAATATATGACAAAATATGATACGGCAATTCATTTTGCGATAGAACCGCCATCTCCACGCTACTTATATTTTAAAATGTAATCGATCACAGCAAAGACATATAATATAATAAGATGGGACATTATATTGTTACTTTTCTTCAATAGATGGCGTTGGTAGTGGAAAAGTATGTTATGTCACGATATCGTGACATAGCATTATGTTATATTTTAACAGAGCTGACACTTTTAAGGGTTGTTGTTGATTTTTATCGACTGAATGTGCAAAGAAATGCTCTGGAATAGATTTTTGAGAGCATGTCTATCATACCTGATATTTTTTTCCGCGTATGTCCGCCATTTTTCGACGATATCGGAATAACATATTTTTCTTAAATTTCAAATGCATTTCTGTTATGTCGCCTGCCATCTATTACCTGATAGAAAAATTAAAGCCCATATGCATTTTGTCCAGTCTTTATAGTTTTATGTCTTTGCTTAAGACGACTTGGTTCATGTCTTTACTTAATGCATACTTAAAGTTGGCAAAGCGTAATTTGATACGGCTTTGCAATTTAGCAGTAGAACCGCCATCTCTACCCTACTATATATTATCTTAGAACTAATTGACTTCCAGATCACCTTTTCAGCGGATTTGAAAATATAAGGTATTTTTTCCATAGAATATATATTAAAAGAAACCCCTTTTTTATTTACGATATTGTGACATATTTTTCCACTACCAAAGTCATCAACTGAATCAAAGAAACAATAAAATGTCCCATTTTATTATATGTCTTTGCTTAAGACATTTCGGTTGATGCCTTTGCTTAACAAATCCTTAAATTTGGCAAAACATTACAGAACCCCTATATCTGCCCTACTATTAAGGAAAAAGGCTATTTTTGAAAATATTTTTTTTTTTATCGGATTATGTTTAATTATAGTTCAGTCAGTATATCTAATTCTTTCAATTTCTCATTTGTATTATAGGACAAAGCAGGCCTGTGAAATGTTAGGAGTGTTGCAGACTGTCATATATTCAGCCCAGTCCGATTTTTGTGTTTTCCTTTCAGGTTTGGATTGTAAAGCACAGTTGTAAATTTAATTATTTTAATTTATACGGATTAAAATGCAAGTTTTATATTTTTTTTGTAAAACAACAACACACACATTGTCTTTATTTGTTTACGATTATTTTTAAAATACATGTTTATGTAAAAAAATCATATTTAAATATAATTACAAATATATATAAAAAATTAAGAATAAAGGAAAGAAGTTGGAACGTAAGTTTGCGTTTAAGAATTAGAATGAGAACAAATATTATAAAACTTAACACTGGACTGAATGAGCCATATATTTTCAGTATATTTAAGTAATTATTATGAGAGAAACATAAATAGCAAGAAAATGGAGGAAAATTAGAAAATAATAAAAATGGAGAACAATGTGAAAGGGTGCTAAAGTTTGGGAGCAATAGATTGAAAATAAAAGTTAAATAAATACGCAAGAGACACAGTATAAATCACAGAACAGATTCATTATAAAAAGGATACTGCAAAGGTAATTGAGAATAAAAAAAAGGAAAGTCGCCGTATGCTGTCTATAAAGAATAGGTCAATAAAAAAATCGCTTCGAAATTGTTTTTCACAATCACATGTTATCCTCTTCTTTACTTATGATAGGGCCCGTAATGGGGACCACCATAATGTGGCCCATAGTGGGGTCCCTCAGCCGGATATGGAGCATAACCATGATATAGAGCTGGCAAAGGTGCTGGAGCGGGGGCAGGGGCAGGCGCCAATTTCGGTACTGGAGGTAATGGTGGTGCCGGTGGTACTGGTGCAACATGAGCCACGGGTTCTACGGGCACCGGAACTGGTACTGGTGCATGAGCCTTATATGCCAGAGGCTCCTTACGTACCACAGCATTAAAACCATTATGTGGATCGGCGGTATAATCGACAGTACGTTTTGTGCCATCGGGATCTACAACAGAATAACTGCCCTTAACCACATCACCGTGACGAGTTTCATGTTGACTCTTCAAATCCCCCGTATAACCATCTTGGATGTCATAACCGAAACTGTATTTTGGTGCTGGATCATAGGGCTCGGGTGCGGCAGGTTTGGGAGCTGGAAATATATAAAGAAAAATATTTTTGTTAAAAAAAATGAAATCAGAAGATAATCGAAGAAAAATTGCCAGATCGTCCAAAAGACTAATTTCAGTGATAGATTTCAATAGTTGCAACTTATATATTCAATGTATTGATTTGCCTAAAAGTATACTCATTTATTAATATTTCATAGATACACATAATTTCGATATCAAGATGGCATCCGTTATCTGGTCCATAAACTTAGAAAAGCTATGTCATGATGTGGCGATATAACATATTTTCTACTATCAACGCCATCTATTAAATCCAAGCAACAACGAAATGTTCAATCAAGGACATAAAACTATAAAGACTGGACAAAATGCATATGGGCTTTAATTTTTCTATCAGGTAATAGATGGCAGGCGACATAACAGAAATGCATCGGAAATTTTAGAAAAATATGTTATTCCGATATCGCCGAAAAATGGCGGAAATACGCGGAAAAAAATATCAGATATGATAGACATGTTCTCAAAAATCTATTCCAGAGCATTTCCTTGTACATTGAATCGATAAAATCAACAACAACCCTTAAAAAGCGTCAGCTCTGTTAAATTATAACATAATGCTATGTCACGATATCGTGACATAACATATTTTTTCCACTACCAACGCCATCTATTGAATAAAAGTAACAATGTAATGTCCCATCTTATTATATGTCTTTGGTCCAATCTTTGCATATTTTTATGTCTTTGCTTAATATGGCTTGGTTCAGGTCTTTACTTAACGAATACTGAAGGTTGGTAGAGCACTGAAGCGCAATGTGATATTGGATTGTCATTTTGCAGTAGGGCCGCCATATCTACCCTACTATATATTATTTCAAAGCTTATTGACTTTCAGAACAGCTTTTTTAGGTGTTAGACATATAATTTTTGCAGCAGAACCGCCATTTTAACCTACTACATATTATGTTAAAACTTGTTGACTTTCTGCCATTTAAACACAGAAGGTAATTTAGAAGGGATTTTTATCCATGCCAGATATATTAAAAGAAAATATTTTTTATATATGAGGCTTATATATTTTATATCTACAGAAATTTGCCCATTTTCGGATTTTAGGTAGCAAACAATGTAAGTCATATGCGTCAATGAAAGGATATCTTTCAGAAAATTCGTAGTTATGATTGCAGTGTTGCCGTAAGCCTTTATCTTAGGGTTTTCGATGATAAGAGTTTTCTGTGTATGCTTACAATATAAAATCTATGCCTATAAATATGCTACTCATGCAAGCTTTCAGAAATAATTAAATTTCTCAGACATACTCAGCCAATATTATCATATTAGATTCCATGGAAATATATATCAAAGAGAAAATGAAAGGGAATGAGAGGGAGGGAGGGATTCTCACCTGGTGCCACATGTGGACCTGGTCCTGGATAGGGTCCGTAGTGTAATGGTCCATAATGCAATGGTCCTGGGTATGGTCCCACAACACCGCATTCACATAGGGCCAGAAATACTGCCACAAAGAGTATCTGAAAAGATTAAATGGATTTTTTTTTTATTTTTTTGGCAAAGGAGTTCTTTAAAAGAAACCAAAGCAGGTGATCTAAAAGTTCCAAATTGGACTAAAGAAACCACAACCAAGGAATGTTTATTAATTCTCGTGCAAATATTATCATTTTTAATCGATTTAACCGAACCACACGTTGGGCGCCATTTGACCAATATCAATATGGACTATGGCTGTTGGTTATACGGCATTTTGGGAAATTTCAAATTTTAATTTGGCCCTAACTTATGGCATTTTTGAAAATACATTATTTCGGATCACACGTTGGGCGCTTATTTTTCAAGGATAATTTCTATACATTTTTCTTATCAGTTTTTTAGGTAACAGACTAAATACGTTTCGTTCTTATTTTTATATTTTCCAAAATGCATTTCACCGAAACGTTGGACACTATTTGCCGAACCCTTTTTTTCGACATGAACTATGGTAAATTGTTGTAGCCCAATCTGGGCACTTTCAAATCTTATTTCATTTCTTATCTAATTTCAAATCTTTCATTTTGTAAGACTCAATTTAATTTGAAAAAATATGTTACCTCTGAATACACGTTGGTCGCCTACGACGATTTCTATACATTTTTGTTATTAATATTTTTTTAAGATACAAGACTGGAGACATTTTTATTACCTCAATTTGTAAATATTTTTGAAGCCACATTTCACCGAACCAAACGTTGGGCGCCATTTGCTAAACTCGCCATTGTAAGTGAAAGAAGTGTACGTCATGTTGGACACTTTCAAATCTTATTTATTCTTTAAAACTTGAAGCATTTTTAGAACTTCGTTACTTCGGATCACACGTTGGGCGCCATTTGTCAAAGACATGTTATACATACTTTTTATACCCTCCACCATACTATGGAGGGTATATTAATTTTGTCATTCCGTTTGTAACTCCTCGAAATACTCATGTCAGACCCAACAAAGTATATATATTCTTGATAAGCGTAAAATTCTAAGACGTCTGTCTGTCTGTCCTTCTGTCTGTCTGTCTGTCTGTTGTAATCACGCTATCTTTCGAACAAATTGAGATAGAAGGCTAAATTTTTGCAGACATGTATATTTTGCCAGTAGGCAGAATAAGTTCGTAAATGGGCCATGTAAGTCCAAGTTATCATATAACTCCTCCATATAACGGTACCTCCTGATATTCGGTATTTTGATGATTTTAGCGACATTATTTACCGGAATTGTTTCAAATTTGGCATTTGAAGTTCGTAATGGATACTACATCCTAAGTCAGAAAATGGGCCATGTAGGTCTACGTCTTCGTATAGCCCCCATATACCGTACCCCCCGATATTCGGTATTTTGAAGATTTTAGCGACATTATTTACCGGGATTGTTTAAAATTTCGCATGTGAAGTTCGTAATGGATACTTCAGCCCATGTCAGAAAATTGTCTGTGCAGGTTCACGTCTTCGTATAGCCCCCATATAACGGTACCCCCTATATTCGGTATTTTGATGATTTAAGCTACATTACAAACAGATTTTTCTTTAAGTTTCGCATTTAAATATTGTGATAACTTATGACAAAAGTTGCCTATGCAGGTCCACGTCGTCGTGTAGGCATTCGGTATTTTAATATTTTAACAGAATTTTTAACGGATTTTATTTTTTTGGTAATTGTCAAATTTGTACCAAATGGTGGAGGGTATTAAAAGTTCGGCCCGGCCGAACTTACAGCTTTTTTACTTGTTTTTATAAATTTGTCTTTAGGTTCAAGACATAATTTCTTCAATTTTTATTGTTTAAGCTACATTTAACAGAACCACACGCTGGGCGCCATTGGGAGCATTTTTTATTTTAACATAAAGTATGGTAACTTGTGAAAATTGATTCATTCGTATTTGTTCTGTTGGATAAAAATTAATTTACCAACACCTCACATTGGGCGCCATTTTCATTTTACAGCCAGCCAGCGCTTAATCACTAAACTCATTGATAAATACTCCATGTCTTGGGATTATTCAATAAAGGATTGCCCTGATTCAAGGGGCACCAACTCTCCAATATCGACTCACTGACCCTCCAGCTCGCCTATATCAAGCCAATGGCCTTCCAGCTCGCCTATATCGACTCATTGATCTTCCATCTCACTTATAAAAACTCACTGGGCCTCCACCTCGTCTATATCGAATACTGGCCCTTCAATTCGCTTGTATCGAATCACTGGCCCACCATCTCGCCTGCACCGACTCAATGATTGTCTATGGGGACTCATTGGCCCTCCGACTCAACTATATCGACTCACTGTCTTTCAGGTCTTCTATGTCAACTTTCTGTCTCCCTAACTCGACTATATCGACTCCCAGGCCCACCAGCTCGTCTATATCGACTCACTGGCCCACCAGCTCGTCTATATCGACTCTCTGGCCCACCAGCTCGTCTATATCGACTCACTGGTCCACCAGCTCGTCTATATCGACTCACTGGCCCACCAGCTCGTCTATATCGAGCCACTGGCCCACCAGCTCGTCTATATCGAGCCACTGGCCCACCAGCTCGCCTATATCGACTCACTGGCCCTCCAGCTTGTCTATATCGACTCACTGGCCCTCCAGCTCGTCTATATCGAATCACTGGGCCTCCAGCTCATCTATATCGAATCACTGGGCCTCCAGCTCATCTATATCGAATCACTGGGCCTCCAGCTCATCTATATCGACTCACTGGCCCTCCAGCTCGTCTATATAGACTCACTGGCCCTCTAGCTCATCTATATCGACTCACTGGCCCTCCAGCTCGTCTATATCGACTCCATGGCCCTCCAGCTCGCCTATATCGACTCACCGGCCCTCCAGCTCGTCTATATCGACTCACTGGCCCTCCAGCTCGTCTATATCGACTCACCAGCCCTCCAGCTCGCCTATATCGACTCACCGGCCCTCCAGCTCGCCTATATCGACTCACTGGCCCTCCAGCTCGTCTATATCGACTCACTGGTCCTCCAGCTCGTCTATATCGACTCACTGGCCCTCCAGCTCGTCTTTATCGACTCACTGGCCCTCCAGCTCGTCTACTCATTGATCTTCCAGCTCACCTATAAGAACTCACTGGGCCTCCACCTCGTCTATATCGACTCCTGACCCTTCAGTTCGCTTGTATCGACAAACTGGGCTACCATCTCACCAACTCACGGATCCTCCAGTTCAACCATATCCACTCTCTGCCCACCTACCTTGTCTATGGGGACTCATTCTGGGGACTCGACTCACTGCCTTTTAGGTCATCTATGTCAACTTCTGTATCCCTAACTCTTCTATATCGAGTAAGAGGCCCTCGATCTTGGCTGTATCGATTAACTGGCCCTTCCAGCTCGTCTATATCGACTCATTGGCTCTCAAACTCATATATACCGACTCACTAAACCTCCCGCTCGCCTATTTCCTGACCCTCTAGCTCGTCTACATCGACTTACGTGTCTATATCAGCTCACTCATCCTTCAGCTAGTCTATGGGGACTCCTCGGATTTCCTACTCATCTATATCGACTCACTGTCTCTTGGGTCGTCTATGTCAACTTACTGTGTCTCCAACTCGTCTATAGCAAATCCCTGGCCCTCTAATTCATCTATATCGACTCCTTGCCTACATCGAATCGTTTGCCCCCACCTCGTCCATAACAACTCACTGGAACTCAAACTCGTCTCTATCCATTCAGTGGCCTATCAGCTCGATTATATCGTCACTGATCCTCCAGCTCACATATAAGGACTCACTGGTTCTTTGACTCTTCTATATCGACTCACTGGCCCTCAAGCTCATCTACATTGACTCACTGATACTCGAACTCTATTGAGACTTCCGGACTCTTCATCTCCTCTATGAACACAACTCGGTTCTCCAAATACGAAACTTTTTTCTGCTTCGTACCTTCTAATTTTCACAAATAAAATGTTTCGTTTACATATCTTGCACGAATCTGAATAGATTTTAATATTCTTTTCAAATTCACAAAATTTAGGCTCACACACACACCTTTAACATTAACATATCCAAAGGATATGTTACAACTTTCTTGCCGATCGTACGCACAAATTCGCAAATGTCTATGCCTGTTACAGCAACTTTTGTATATCCTTTTTAGTTATTTGATCGAATAACAGCAACAACAGCTATTGCCGATACACACACTATCCGTTTACAATGAATCGAAAAAGTTGAAAAAATTAACTGAGGCTAAGGCCCTGACAGTTCTTAACTTTTATAGTCAGCGTTGGTCGTTTAGAAGCTGACAAACGCTGCAAGGAACCCAGAAACAAAAAAGACACACTTTTATGTGCTGTTGTTATTGTTGTTTGTAACTTCATGTGGTTTTTGCTCCGACGAAGTTTAACAGTTGTTGTTGATTTTTTTTTCGTTTAAATGTCGCCAGCTTCACATGCAGCTCAATAACAAACACGAAATCAAAATTTTCCCGACTTTACTGTTGTGCTGTTGTTGGCGACGGGGAGGATGCAGAGATGGGGATAGTGGTGCTAGTATGGCGGTATGCTATTATGCTTTTTTGTTTGGTTTCTTGCTCTTGTTGTTGGTTTTTCGTTAACTAACAATCGATTTAGCCAAACTAGACATTTGGCCACTTGGCTGCGGTGCGGCATGGATCGATGAACAATGCGCTAATTTAAGTAACAAATCTCTAGGAGAATCGAGCATAAGGACAGACCGAAAGTGACACTCAGGGGGACAGTGAAACAAAACAAATGCAAAGAAAAAAAATAAGCTCCTCGGGTCCAATAGAAAGTCTCGGTATTCGCTATGGACAAACATAAATGTTTAAGGTCATGTTGGGCGCCAGTTCGTAAAAAATTTCAATCGCAGAGTAGATGCTGGATCTCTAGCCTCTATCGATTCACTCGATCTCACTGGCCCACCAGCTCGTCTATATCGACTCACTGACCAGCTCGTCTTTATCGACTCACTGGCCCACCAGCTCGTCTTTATCGACTCACTGGCGCACCAGCTCGTCTTAATAGACTCACTGGCGCACCAGCTCGTCTTTATAGACTTACTGGCGCACCAGCTCGTCTTTATAGACTTACTGGCGCACCAGCTCGTCTTTATGGACTCACTGGCGCACCAGCTCGTCTTTATCGACTCACTGGCCCACGAGCTCGTCTATATCGACTCACTGGCCCACCAGCTCGTCTATATCGACTCACTGGTCCACCAGCTCGTCTATATCGACTCACTGGTCCACCAGCTCGACTATATCGACTCACTGGTGCAACAGCTCGTATATATCGATTCACTGCCTCACCAACTCTTCTATATCGATTCACTGCCTCACCAACTCTTCTATATCGACTCACTGGCCCACCAGCTCGTCTATATCGACTCTCTGGTCCACCAGCTCGTCTATATCGACTCACTGGTCCACCAGCTCGACTATATCGACTCACTGGTGCAACAGCTCGTATATATCGATTCACTGCCTCACCAACTCTTCTATATCGATTCACTGCCTCAACAACTCTTCTATATCGACTCACTGGCCCACCAGCTCGTCTATATCGACTCACTGGCCCACCAGCTCGTCTATATCGACTCACTGGCCCACCAGCTCGTCTATATCGACTCACTGGCCCACCAGCTCGTCTATATCGACTCACTTGCCCACAAGCTCGGCTATATCGACTCACTGGCCCACCAGCTCGTCTATATCGACTCACTGGCCCACCAGCTCGTCTTTATCGACTCACTGGCCCTCCAGCTCGTCTATATCGACTCACTGGCCCTCCAGCTCGTCTATATCGACTCACTGGCCCTCCAGCTCGTCTTCATAGACTCACTGGCCCACCAGCTCGTCTTTATCGACTCACTGGCCCACCAGCTCATCTATATCGACTCACTGGCCCACCAGCTCGTCTATATCGACTCACTGGCCCACCAGCTCGTCTATATCGATTCACTGGCCCACCAGCTCGTCTATATCGATTCACTGGCCCACCAGCTCGTCTATATCGACCCACTGGCCCGCCAGCTCGTCTATATCGACTCACTGGCCCGCAAGCTCGTCTATATCAACTCACTGGCCCGCCAGCTCGTCTATATCGATTCACTGGCCCACCAGCTCATCTCTATCGATTCACTGGCCCACCAGCTCATCTCTATCGATTCACTGGCCCACCAGCTCATCTCTATCGATTCACTGGCCCACCAGCTCATCTCTATCGATTCACTGGCCCACCAGCTCACCTCTATCGACTCACTGGCCCGCCAGCTCGTCTCTATGGACTCACTGGCCCGTCTCGTCTCTATGGACTCACTGGCCCACCAGCTCGTCTATATCGATTCACTGGCCCACCAGCTCATCTCTATCGATTCACTGGCCCACCAGCTCATCTCTATCGATTCACTGGCAGACCAGGTCATCTCTATCGACTCACTGGCCCACCAGCTCATCTCTATCGACTCACTGGCCCACCAGCTCATCTCTATCGACTCACTGGCTCACCAGCTCGTCTCTATGGACTCACTGGCCCACGAGCTCGTCTCTATCGACTCACTGGCCCTCCAGTTCGTCTATATCGACACACTGGCCCTCCAGTTCGTCTATATCGACTCACTGGCCCACCAGTTCGTCTATATCGACTCACTGGCCCACCAGTTCGTCTATATCGACTCACTGGCCCACCAGCTCGTCTATAACGACTCACTGCCCCACCAGCTCGTCTATAACGAATCACTGGCCCACCAGCTCGTCTATAACGACTCACTGGCCCACCAGCTCGTCTCTATGGACTCACTAGCCCGTCTCGTCTCTATGGACTCACTGGCCCACCAGTTCGTCTATATCGACTCACTGGCCCACCTGTTCGTCTATATCGACTCACTGGCCCACCAGTTCGTCTATATCGACTCACTGGCCCACCTGTTCGTCTATATCGACTCACTGGCCCACCAGTTCGTCAATATTGATTCACTGGCCCACCAGCTCGTCAATATCGACTCACTGGCCTTCCAACTCGCTTATATCGACTAAGTGGCCCACCAGATCGCCAATATCGGGTCACTGGTCTACCTGCTCGCCTATATCCACTCACTGGACCACTAGCTCACCTATATTGACTCACTGGCCCTCCAGCTCGTCTGCATCGACTCACTGGCCCTCCAGATCGTCTGCATCGACTCACTGGCCCTCCAGCTCATCTACATCGACTCACTGGTCCTCCAGCTCGTCTATATCGATCCAATGGCCCTCCAGCTCCTCTATATCGACTCACTGGGACTCCATCTCGTTTCTAAGATTTTTTTTTCATATTTTGAACTATTATTAACACCTACTTTTTCCCTTTTTGAGCCACTGTTCCCACCCCATATGGTTTTGGCTGCAATAATCGCCAATTTAATATGCCTTTGCTGGAAAGTCAGAAAAAAAAGACACAACAAACCGACTCTTGTAAACTTTAGGGATTTTTCTTAAAGACCAATCATTGAAACCTGTAACCACCTACAATTTTTGGTGGAAAACAAACAAACGAAAAAGCAATGCCGGCGTTAGCTTCTAGCTGGGCAAAGCCGGTTAAATAGCAAAAGGTTACTTTTCCGCGCACATAAATAAAACTCTAACTAAGGGCTTTGGACATGTTCCTCCAACTTTTTTTTTTCAACCAAACAATTTTGTGATTATACAATTCTTCAATTGGAAAATAATTTGGTCTTTGGGTCAGTGGGTAGAAAAAAATAGCTAAACAATGGGGTTTACACAAAACTAAGAAAAGTATGTGCCAAATCCAAAGAAAAAAATTCGATAATTTATTGCTCAAGTAAAAAATAAAATATAAAAAAAAAACAACAACTGTAATCACTTTCAATTGTCTTGTAATTGTCATTGATTTACATCTGCTCATAACCTCTTTTTCCCCTCACTGGCGATATGTCTTCATCATTGTTCGATATTGGTCATATGTTGTTGTAGGAGAATTCTGCCATTCATTCATTCATTGATGACTTGGCTATTATCTCCTTAAATGTCGGGGGTAAGGCGAAGGAGGAGGAGGAGGAAAAGTTATGCTCATTAAAATGCTTGTCAAACCGATCTTAAGATTATTACTTTTTATAGAGATTCCAAGTGCGCTATGGTGGCATGAATGGAAAGACATGTCAACTTTGTGCTGATGGCAAATAAATTAAATTATAAAAATCGTTTCGATAAAAACAATGACAAACATAGAAAGATTTTTGCATAATCGAAGTTGTGATGAAATAAGGACTGTTTTGGGAAAATTTGAAAATATTTAATTCGTCTAAAGATACCTCGCTAGCTCACCAGGAAAGACTTAACAGTTCCGGCCAACCACTTTAGATTATACCGGCTCGTTTGGACTCAGTGGCCGCCTTGTTCGTCAAGATTGGCTCACCCTTCATTTCGTCTCCAACGACTCACTGGTCCACCAGCTCATCTATATCGACTAAATGCCCCACCAGCTCGCTTTTATCGACTCACTGACCCACCAGCTCGCTTATATCGACTTACTGGAACTCAAGCTCGCCTATATCGACTCACTGGCCCTTCAGTTCGTCTATAGACTTACCAGATCGTCAAGACTTTACCAACTCGTCAAGACATTACCAGCTCGTCAAGACTTTACCAGCTTGTCAAGACTTTACCAGCCCGTCAAGACTTTACCAGCTGGTCTAGACTTTACCAGCTGGTCTAGACTTTACCAGCTGGTCAAGACTTTACCAGCTGGTCAAGACTTCACAAGCTCGTCAAGACTTCATACCCACGTCAAGACTTTAACCAGCTCGTTAATACCTTACCAGCTTGTCTCTATCGACTCACTGGTCCTCCAGCTCGTCTTTATCGACTTACTGGAACTCAAGCTCGCCTATATCGACTCACTGGCCCTTCAGGTCGTCTGTAGACTTACTAGCTCGTCAAGACTTTACCAGCTGGTCTAGACTTTACCAGCTGGTCAAGACTTCATCAGCTCGTCTAGACTTCTCCAGCTCGACTAGACTTCACCAGCTGGTCAAGACTTTACCAGCTGGTCAAGACTTCATCAGCTCGTATAGACTTCACCAGCTCGTCTAGACTTCACAAGCTCGTCAAGACTTTAACCAGCTCGTTAATACCTTACCTGCTTGTCTCTATCGACTTACTGGAACTCCAGCTCGTCTGTATCGACTCGCACACTCCACCTCGCCTATATCGACTAACTGGCCCTCCACCTCGCCTCAATCG